TCACTCCCAAACCCCAGGGATACCTGCACTCCCATATTCATTGCAGCTCTATTTACAATAGCCAAATTATAGAACCAACCTAAGTGTCCCTCAACAGATAACTGGATAAGGAAAATGTGGTAATATACACATTGGAATACTACTCAGCCATAAAAAAGAATGAAATTCTGCCATTTGAAGCAACATGGATGAGGCTGGAGACAATTACATTAAGTGAAATAAGCCAGACAAGGAAAAAGAAATACCACATGTCCTCACTCATAACTTGGAAGTAGGTAGAGAAGGAAGGAGGGAGAGAGAGAAGGAAGGAAAGAAGGAAGGAAGGAAGGAAGGAAGGAAGGAAGGAAGGAAGGAAGGAAGGAAGGAAATATCTCTTGATTTTTAGTAAAGCTGGATATTTTCTTGTATTTCTTTACCAACTATATGTCCATTTTTGTGAATTTGCACCTGTATCCTCTATTGATCTGTTATGGTCTTCATATTTTCCTTAATTTTCTTTGAGTTTTTATAGTTTTAATTACGTTTGTAGCAAAAGAAGCTTTTTCGTATTCCACACTTAATATTCACTACTTTTTCAAGTAAAAAGTTAAGTATGTGTAAACTTAAATCTGTTAATATTTTTCTTTATAATTTCTACTAACTGCATAAATGCATAAACTTGATGCACTGCCTCAGGCTGTGCATGCTCAATTTTAGTCTCCTCTAGTTTGTATATAATGTTTTAAAACAAACTATTCTTTTTAAGCCAATTAGACCTTGTTTTTGCATACAGAGTAAGGTGAAGAGCTAAACTGATTTCCTCCCCATGGTGCAGGTCATTTGTCCCCACCTCACTTACTAAATAAGTCTTTAATGAGGATGTGATTCTTTAATATATGTTAAATTTATTTATGACTTCATCCATCTTGGAAATAATCTGCCATTGATCTGCCATTCTATTTTTTTACCAATATGGTATTTTGTCAAAATATCATAGCATTGCATAATGTTTTTGTATCTGGTTGGTCTAATCACTCTTAATTAATGTTCATTAATGTTTTAAAGGTCTTCTCTGATTTTTTTCTTATGGATGAATTACTAATTTACTTATGTTCCCGAAGTGAAAAAAAGAACAATTACAATTTTGATGGAATGGCATTAAATGATAAACTTTGGCATGTTTATAATTTATTTTTTTCTTTCTGAAACATGGAATGCTTCTTTACTTCCAACTTGTTTCTTCACTTGTTTTCATATTTTTCTTCCTATCTCATAAACACTGCTACTGTAAAATTAAATGCTCTCTTCTGTTATATGTTCTGCCCATTATCTTTTCACCCATGTTTAAAAAATAAATTGGCTTCTGGGCCGGCCCGGTGGTGCACTGGAGAGTGCGCCGCTTGGGAGCACGGTGGAGCTCCCGCCGAGGGCTCGGATCCCATGTGGAGACCGGTTCCCGCTCACTGGCTGAGCGTGGTGCGGGCACAACACCGAGGGTTGCGATCCCGTTGCCGGTCCCCAGTACACCGAGGGTTGCGACCCCGTTACCCGTCAGTAAAAAAGAGACAAAAAGGAAAAAAAATAATAATAATAA